CTGATATGAACCCCACTTGGTCATGTTGTATTATTTTTTTCATATGTTGTTGGAATCTATTGACTAGGATTTTGCTGAAGATTTTTCCATCTATCTTCATGAGGGATATTTGTCTGTAGTTTTCCTTTTGAGTCATGTTTTTGCCTGGTTTTGGTATCAAGGTTATGCTTGCTTCATAAAATGAATTAGGGAGGATTCCATAATTTTCTATGCTGGAATAGTTTGAGTAGAATTGATGTCAGTTCTTTTCTGAATATTTGGTAGAATTCTACAGTGAAACCATCTGGGCCAGGGCCTTTTTTGTTGGTAATTTTTTATGACCTTTTCAATTTCTTCTTTTGTTATGGGTCTGTTCAAAATTTCCACTTCAGTCTGTGTTACTTTAGGTAAGTAATATGTTTCTAGAAATCTGTCCATTTCTTCCAGATTTTCAAATTTGTTGGAGTACAGTTCTTCATAGTATCCTGATATTATCCTTTTAATTTCTGTTGACTCTGTTGTGACATTGCCCGATTCATTTCTTATTCATGTTATTTGTATTCTCTCCCTCTTTTCCTTTGTTAAATTTGCCAGTGGTTTGTCAATTTTATTAATCTTTTCAGAAAACCAACTTCTAGTTTTGTTGATTTTTTTCTATTTTCTGTTTCATTTATTTCTGTTTGAATCTTCATTATTTCTTTTCTTCTGGTGGCTATAGATTTTTTCTGCTGCTCTTTTTCTAGTTGTTGGAGATATTGGGTTGAGGCGTTGATTTTTGCTTTTCTTTATTTTTTGATGTGTGCATTTATTGCTATAAATTGGCCTCTGATTACTGCTTTTGCTGTGTCCCAAAGATTTTGGTATGTTGTGTTTTCATTCTCATTTGATCCAAGAACTTTTTTAATTTCAATTTTTTATTTCTTCTATTACCCAGTCATTTTCAAGGAGGGTGTTATTCAGTTTCCATGTATTTGCTCTTTGTCCATTCATCTTCCTATTGTTGATTTCTAATTTAATAGCATTGTGATCTGAGAAGATGTTTTGCAGTATTTCAATGTTTTTAAATTTATTAAGGCTTGCTTTGTGTCCAACCTGGAGAATGTTCCATGTGCATTGTGCTGTTATTGGGTGAAGTGCTCTGCAGATGTCTATAAGGTCAAGTTGGTGGATTGTATTATTTAGTTTTTCTGTGTCTTTGTTGAGTTTCTTTCCAATTGTTTTATCTGTGATTTAAAGTGGTGTATTAAAGTCTTCTACTGTGACTCTTTGTCTTTTCAATTCTGTTAAAGTTTTATTTATGTATCTTGGGGGTCTTTCATTGGGTCCATATATATATATTATTGTTATATCCTCTTGCTCAATCAAGCCTTTAAACATTATATAATGTCCTTCCTTGTCTCTTAAGGTGGTTTTTGTCTTAAAGTCAATTTGATCAGAAATTAATATTGCCACTCCTGCTCTTTTATGGTTGTCATTTGCTTGATATATCTTTTTCCAACCTTGATTTTTAGTCTGTTTTTGTCTTTGTCTTTAAGGTGTGTCTCTTGTAGAAAGCATATTGATGGGTTATGTTTTCTTATCCAGTCTGCAAAGTTCTGTCTCTTGAGTGGTGCAGTTAATCCATTTACATTCAGTGTAATTATCAACAAGTGTGAATTTGTTGCTGTCATTTTGTTATGTGTTTTTTCGTGGTGTTGCTGATTTCTTTAATCCACATAATTTTCTGTGCCGAGCTCATTTTGTTTATGAATTGCATGGCCACTTCCTTTCTTGCTACTTTTTAAATATTTGCTAAATATTTGTGCTTGTCTTCTTTTTTATTTCGAGTGAAGGTTTATCATTTTTATTTGAGGTTATCCTGTGATTTATAATTTTCTTTCTAAGGTTAGAACAGTCCCTTCTATCTTGCAGTTGTCTTGAATTTAGAAGTTCTGTAACTACACAATTTTTCCCCTCTTTTTCGTTTGTAGTTGTCCTCACTTGCCAACTGATGTCTCTGGTTCTCTGTCTACAATCTTGTAGGCGATTTACTTTGGATACTTCCATAACTGGGTTGGTTTCTGGGTTATGTCATCAAGTGTGTTAATGGTCAGTTGTTTTTTTGCTGTTGTTGGTTCTCTGTCCAAAGGACTCCCTTTAGCATCACTTGTAAGGTTGGTCTGGTTTTAATAAATTCCCTTAATTTCTGCTTATTTTGAAATGTCCTAATTTCACCATCATATTTGAGGGTGTATTTGTTTGGATGCATTTGAGTAAGCAGGGTATTGTGCTCCTCTATTCACTAGTTGTCAGCCCTTATGCACTTACCACCTGTCTGCTTTCCAGTCATCAGCCTCCCATATGTCCATGCTGTCCTCGGCAAGTGGAACTATTCTTAGGTCCCTGGAATCTGAACTAGCATGCTGTCACTTTAAATATCCAAAATGGCCACTGCTTGTAAACATTCAAAATGGCTGTGCCCTCCAGACAGTCCACAGCTCAGTTTGTCTCCTTCTTTGCTGTTTCCCTTTTTAACTGTCTACCAGCGCAGTCATCCATGAAGCCCTTGGTTAGCAGTGCCGAGTTTTAGGTTAATTCTCAGGTTTTAATACCACTTGGAAATATTCAGGCTATCTGTGCTGTCAGGATAGCTGACAGTCTGCAGCTCCATTTGTTTCCTTATGCACTGTTTTCATTCAGCTTCTTCTACTAGTTGTTGTTTAATCCACTTCTGTATCCTTCCTTTCAAAGCTTAGGGCTCCAGGATTATCTTCTGTATCTGTGTCAATTGGTTTCTCTTTTCTTTGTTGAAGAGGGTCTGTGTAGCTTGTCGGCCTATTCTGCCATCTTACCGGAAGTCCCCTGAAATGTTCCTTAATATCTTCCACCTTCACCTGGTGGACATGGTCCTAGCCCAGTGTTTTGATGAGGTTAAGGCTCCTGGGGTACTTAACATGAGTTACGTCTTTTAGTCTTCACTTGACAAGGTAAATGTTATTTCTCCACTCTACAGATGGTGAAGTTTTGTGACTCAGTGAGGTCTGGTAGCTTACCTTGGACATGTCATCAGGAAGGATGAATCTCTAGAGAAGGACTTTATGCTTGGTAAAGTAGAGGGTGAGTGTAAAAGAGGAAGGCCCTCAGTGAGATGGACTGACACAGTGGCTGCAACAGTGGGCTCAGACATACCTACTATTATGAGGATGGGGCAGGACTGGGCAAAATTTTGTTCTGTTACACATGAGGATACTATGAGTTGGAGCTGACTTGATGGCACCTAACAACAACAACTGAAGTCACACAGCTGTTAGAGGTGGATCTGGAAATCGAGCATGTGCCTGTGTGAATCCAAAGATCCTCTTCATTCCTACACAGCTTCATGAGTATTTCCCAACAGTGACATCATCCAAGGTTGGAGCAGGTATGAAATACAGGATTGTAAGTTCTCTCTAGCAGAAGGGTTGTTGCATCATTTCTCCAGGATTGCATCATTCCCAGCATTGCCAAGTCCCGAAGCAGGAATTACATAACTTGGGTGACATGTCTTTATTATCAGCATTGGATCTGAAAGAACCCAAGGAGGAGAAGGCAACCTTATTCAGTGATTCTCCTAATGAGGCTCTCAGGGAATATGGCCCCAGTGACCAAGCAGGCGCCCGTAAAGGACTCACCCTGCGAATCCCCCATACAACCTTTCCTGTACCAGGGCCGAGTCCATGCACTCAGCTTCTCACTCATGCACACTTAGCCTGCAGACCCCTGTCCTTCTGACCAATAACCTCTGTCCAGGTCTGATAGAGCAAAGTGAGCCTGGGAGTCTTGGTATCAGTGAGGATCGCCATTCTTCCCAGGTAAGAGTCTGACCCGCGGACACCTCACCAATAACTGCTTGTTGGGGTGGAAAGCCTTATAGAGGGGCTCCTCACTAAGTCATGTAAGTGAGGCCACAGTTCTAAAGTCATCACCCAGGAACGACCAGGATGTGCTATCTACTAATGAGTCCCTGAACTGGGGGCATCATTGGTTGCTGGGTTTTTTAATTTCTTTCTTTAGTTTTTAAATTGTGCTTTAAATGAATGTGTACAGAGTAAATTAGTTTCTCACTGATAGTTTTCACATGAAGTGTACCATGGTATTGGTTGGGTTCCCCATTGTGGGTCATCCCTCTCCCTCATTTCCACCCTGGGTCCCCCATTTCATTTCATCTGGATTTTCTACCCTTTCCTGCCTTCTCATCTTTGCTTTTGGGCAAGTTGGCTGAGTTTCTGCCTATACCTTTGGGTCATTTGCACTTTAACTTTACTATTGGACTGAGGGAGCTCAGTGGCCATAGTCAAGAAGTCCTGACTCACAAGTCTGTAAAGGCCCTGTGAGCCTGAGCCCACGAAGGAGCCACGGCAGCAGCAATATTATCCTGATCACTTTGGAAGCAGTGACTGATCAAGGGCTGATGTAATTCTCTGAGCACATGTGTTAGCAATGAAAGGTGATGAGATTATCTTCATTGTGAAAATAAAGATGATGAAACAGAAACTCAGAGAAGGTAAACATTTCCTCTAAGGCAACATCACTGATGATATTGATGACATTAGTCACCTATTTTAAGTACTTTTTACTTGTCTGTCTCTGTGGTACCCATTGCACATATGTGTTGTCCACTACATAATACAAGTCTTAAAGTCTCTATTAATATTTCATATTTACAGTGTTTTAAAACAAATACTTTAAACATTTATGGTAATGGTAAAAAATCCAAAGAGTACAAAGAGATCTACAGAGAAAACCACCGTCACAATCCTTTGAGCATCCTTCCACAGGCACTGTGTGTGCAGAAGTGTTTGTATTGATTTTGCTAATGAAGAAATGGAGGCTCAAAGAGGTCCAGTAGCAGACTGAAACCCCCAGGGAGCAAAATCCTAATGACTTACCTGTGTCACACTGAGATTTCCCTTGTGATCTTAATTTTCCCATCTCAACCATCATTTTCCAGGTTTTAAAGTTCATCCTGTCTTATCTACACCCGGACCCAGGTCCCCACACCCATGAGCAGGACAAACCAGTCGAGTGTCTCTGAGTTCCTCCTCCTGGGGCTCCCTGGGAAGCCCCAGCAGCAGCAGCTCCTCTTTGTGCTCTTCCTGAGCATGTACCTGGCCACGGTCCTGGGCAACGTGCTCATCATCCTGGCCATCAGCACAGACTCTCGCCTCCTGCACACCCCCATGTACTTCTTCCTCAGAAACCTGTCATTTGTGGACCTCTGCTTCTCCTCCACCACTGTTCCCAAAATAATGCACAACCATGTAGTTGGGAGTCAAGCCATTTCTATCCCTGGGTGTCTCACCCAGCTGTATTTTCTCATTGTGTTTGCTCACATGGAGAACTTCCTCCTGGCTGTGATGGCCTATGACCGCTTTGTGGCTGTGTGCCACCCCTTACACTACACAACAAAGATGACCCATAAGCTCTGTGCCCTGCTGGTCGCTGGGTCCTGGGTCATTGCCAATGCGAATTCTTTGTTGCACACCCTGATGATGGCTCCACTCTCGTTCTGTGCAGACAACAGGATCCCCCACTTCTTCTGTGATGTGACTGTCCTGAAACTCTCCTGCTCTGACACACACCTCAATGACATGGTCATTTTTATTGTAGCAGGGCTGGTAATGATTGCTCCATTCATTTGCATCCTCATCTCCTACATCTTTATTGCCTGTGCGGTCCTGAGAATTCCATCCACAAAGGGGAAATGGAAGGCCTTCTCCACCTGTGGCTCCCACCTGGCTGTGGTTTCCCTCTTCTATGGCACCATCATTGCTCTGTATTTTAACCCTTCATCTTCCCACTCAGTTGAGAAAGACATCACAGCTACTGTGTTGTACACAGCAGTGACCCCCATGATGAACCCGTTCATCTACAGCCTCAGAAACAAGGACTTGAAAGGGGCTCTACGAACAGTGATTTTCAAAAAGAGGTTTTCTTTCTGATGAAAGCATCAAAGTTGATTCTCATTTCCAAGGAAATTTTTTCCTCACCCATTGAGTATAAGGTAGCTGTTGTTTTGTCAAAGCCAGCATGGAAACAAACATAATGATAGGGGCACACAGAAGGTTATCACTACTTATTAGTAGATGAAGATTCACCTGTAACCTTGCTGCATATGCCAAGTAATGGGATACATTTTGGATTACTACCTTTTGAATTATTTTACTCCCAACAATTTCCTTTTTGGTGTTCTGTTTGCACAGACCTATACTATTTTAACAGAAGGCTGGCAGTTCAAACCCACAAGCCACTCCTCCTCGGGAGGAAGATTGGGCAATCTACTTCTGTAGTGATATTGCCTCGGAAACCCAAGGAGGGGTCACTATGAGTTGGGACAGCAGTGAGTGTGAGAATCACCTGGGAAGTTTTTCAAGCACCTTAATGTCCAGTCCCCCTCAAAACTCACTGCCATTGAGTTGGATCCAGTACTGACCAAATAAATCAGAATCTCTGGGGTGGGGTGACCCTGATAGTTTAAGGAAATTCTCAGGTGATTCTAATGTGCAGTCAGGTTGAGAACCACTGGTCAGCCTCACACTCCTCTAGATGTCCTTATGATGGTCAGTCATGAGTTTTGGGGTCTCAAAACCTCTCACAAATTAGTTTGAGATTTAGATAAAAAGAATGGCAGGGTGAAATGTGGGGCCTCAAGTGGGTAATAACATTTCAGATGGAAGCAGAGGGGCTGGTGGCCATTGTGGCCCAGAGCGCCAAGAAGTGAAGAAGCACAGAGTGGTAGAAACCCTTCATGAGTCTCTGGCTTGGCTGCCTGACTTTGGGTGGTGGGATAAGCAGGGTCCTGTCTTTGATATCAGGGAAATAAATCACTATGTGTTATTCCCTCTGCCCAGACCACTTTGCTTCTTCTCAGGCTAGCAATCCCCTCCCCAGTCCACACCTTCAACAACCAAGTGTAAGTCACCTTCTCTTCCATGGAGCCTTCCTGACTTTCTCTGGGACTTATGGTTCTATTTTTCTTTCAGCTGATTGCACATTGGACCATAATCATTTGCCTATCACCTCGTCCCCCTCCACAAGGCTTTCTACACATTATGAGGTGCTCCAGATCCAACCACACATACTATCCACCTTGTTATCTTTTTTAATGGCTGGCATTGCTCCTGGACCAATGGCAATAATCAACTTAGGGTGAAAAAAAAAAAAAAGGACAGATGACTATGGTCTTAACTTTTATTTGAGAAGGAGTTTCAAAAATATGACATTTCACTATTCTGAAGGTAATACCTACACACTTTGGAAGATCCAAAAAATGATAAAGAATAAGAGAGAAATAACATGTAATTTTGCCTCTTAAGATAACCATAGTTAGACATTTATGAATATAGTTTCACAAAAGTTGGCAGCAATGTATTCATATCACTCTGTATCCTGAGTTTTCCAGTTTCTTCTTCCCATGTCAGTAAAGATCTTAGAAATGGTATTTCAATGGCTGCATAATAGTTTGTTACCTGAATGTAATAATATAATTTATCCTTTCTCCAATCTGAACAGCCCCAAATGTCTACTGTCAATACCACTGCCTCCCACGTCCTGAAGTCTCATTCTTCGTCTGCCTCCCTGAGGATTTCCACAGGTGGTCCACCCATTCTGCTTCCCCAGCCTGGACTAAAAATTACAACGGTCTTTCCTTTATTTCTACACTTCCTCCCACCTGATTCCACCTGCCGTTGCTGGCAGGGATCCAGTTCCTCCATCTTGGTGTCCGAGTTCTCCAGAAGCTCCCTCCGTTCAAAGGAGTCAGCCAGTCCTGCTTTTCCCCACGAGGTGGGGAGTGTTGAGGGTCACAGGCATCATTGTATGAATTGCTGGCACATTGAATCTTGGTCTTGTTTGATCACCTGCGGGCCTGTCTGATGAGCAGACACTCATGGCCCACATAGCTTTAGGGTTGCTTTATGTCCACTTTTGGCTCCTGTGTGACAGCTGTCTGTGTCACATTCAGTTTATCCTCCATGAAAGTCTTACTGTGTGAGCCATGGTGGCTGTACCCACAGGGGCTTCCAGTCCTACTGTGTCAAACCAGCTATTCCTGTACAAGGGCAAGGTTAGGAAACCTTCTTAGTCAAAACCAAACACCTTGAAGGAATGTGTCCCTGGACCCTGGAAGCTCAGGACCAAAGTCTCAGGAAAGATCAAGGTCAATTGGCATAATATAGTCCACAAAGACAATGTTGTACATCCTACTTTAGTGGGCAGTGACTGGGAACATAAAAGCTTGTGAGTGACCATCAAAATAAGGTGTCCCTCCTGGTCTCTCCTCGTCTAGAGCAAAGAAATGTGAATAAAGTCAAAGACACTATAAGACATGTAGTCCAAAGGACTAATTCACCACAAACCCCAGCATCCACAACCCTGAGACCAGAAGAACTAGATGTTGCCCAGCTAACATTGCTGACCATTCTGGAAGGAATGAGAATAGGAGGCCCTGAATTAAGTAGGAGAAAAATGTGGAATGAATTTCAAAATTATAAAAAAGATGAGGCTTACTGGTCTGATAACAACTGGTATAACCCCTGGGAATATGGCGCTGTAAGTCTAGAACTGAACTCACTCTCATGGCTCAACTTTCAGTCAAACAATACGGAGGTCAATCAGGTGAACAATAACAGCCCTAAGGGAGGTCCACACCGCTTAAAACAATGAAGGAAAGAGATCCAAAGGGCAGTATTTGCCCAGGGTTAAAGCTCAGAGGGCAGAAGGGGATAGGAAGGAAGGATGAGGGGAAATGGCAAATGCAGGGAGAAGGTGGGATGAGAGCTGTCACACTGTGGAGATTACAGTGTGTTCACACAACACACTGCGCATGAACTGTCGAATGGAAAACCAATTTGCTCTGTAAACCTTCACTCAAGTCACAACAAAAAGCTAAAAACCAAAGAAACAAAAACCCAGCTCGCCCCAAAACACATGGGTATCAGAACACATGGGTATCCGAACACATGGGTATCCGAACACCCTGCTCAAATGTATCCTTCTCCTCCCTCAATGTCCTCAGGGTCCTTGGGATCTTTTTAGGTGAATTTGACATCAATCAGGTTTTCCTCTTTCCCCCAAATTACAGCTGATTGGATTGAATCGTGTCTGCCAAAAGTGTGTGCCGTAAATCCTAACTCTATACCTGTGGATGTATCCCACTTGGGAATAGGGATGGATTTCTTTGTTAATGAGGCCATATCAGTGTATGGTGTTATTTATGTATTTATTTTGGATGGGATCAAGAGTGACAGTTGGCCTCATCTATTGATGGGAATGTATAATGATGCAGGTGTTGTAGAGAACAGTCTGGCATTTCCTCAAAAAGCTAAACACAGAATTACCATGTTGTTGTTGTTAAGTGCCATCACGTCAGTTCTGACTCATAGCGACTCATGTACAACAGAACAAAACACGGCCCGCTCCGGCGCCATCCTTCCAGAGTTGCCATGCTTGAGCCCATTGTTGCAACCACGGTATCAATCCATCCCATTGAGGGTCTTCTTCTTTATCGCTGACTTGTTACTTTACCAAGCATGATGTCCTTCTCCAGGGATTGGCTCCTTCTGACATGACCAAAGTAAGAGAAATGAAGCCTGGCCATTCTCGTTGTAAGGAGTATTCCAGCTGTACTTTCTTTCACAAGCACAGATTAGTTGTTCTTCTGGAAACCCATGGTATATTCAATATTCTTCACCAACACCACAATTCAAGGCATCAATTCTTCTGCAGTTGTGTTTCATTGTCCAGCTCTCATGCATATGAAGCTACTGAAAATACCATGGCTTGGGTCAGGCTCACCTTAGTCTTCAAAGTCAGATGAGGCACAGAAAAGCAAGCACAAATGGAGGGGAAGATCCATGCCATGAGGAGATTGCCAAGGAGTCAAGGAACTCCAGGTGTGTTAGGCTGGGTTCTCTAGAGAAGCAAAACCAGTAAAGTTTATATATACATATAGAGAAAGAGAAATTTATCTTAGGAAAATGGCTCAGACACTTATAGAAGCTGGCAAGTCCCAAGTTCTTGGATCAAACATCACGCTGGATGCTTTTCCTGACTCACGCAGCTGCAGGGACTGATGAGCTGAAGGTTGGCAGGCAGTCTACTGGCTGTTGATTCCAAGGAATGACGAGTCCAAGATCTCCAGGCTGAATGGTGGATTGTTCGCTCATGGAGAGCTGAAGGTAGCACAACAGGATCCTGATCCACAGAACAGTGTCTCTTTTCCCAGGATGTCCATAAATATATTGGAAGCAGGCCACACCCCTAGGGAAACGCCCTTTTAATGGATTGGCTGCTCAAAACATATACATCTGATCCCATCATGGGAATAACCCACATCACAACTGCTTAAACCACACGGAATTGTGGTCCAACCAAGTTGATACATAGCTCCAACCATCACACCAGGTCTGTGGGAACTGAAGGGTAGTGTTCAATGAACATTGGTGTTCAATGCATCAGATCTTCAAATGGTCTCTAAATTCAGGTGGGATATAATCAAGGTCATATTATGACTCTTGTGAACTTGTTTTAGTTTTCTTAAGTTTCAACTGAACTTGCATATCAACAATTGATGGTCTGTTCCACAGTCAGCAAATGATAGTCTGTTCCACAGTCCGTAAAAGCTCATTAAAAAGACAGGAAAAGAAAACCCAAGAGATTCAATCAAAAAACTACTGGAACTAATTGAGGGATTCAGCAACGTCGCAGGATATAAGATCAACATCCAAAAATCAGTTGGATTCCTCTACACCAGCAAAGACATTGCTGAAAAAGAAATAAGAAAATCAATA